AACACAGCAGGTCATTCACAGGACTACTGTTCTCACTGACGGTGCGGTGGCAAAATTACCAAAACGACCAAATAATCACATGTCAACACAGTCTAACCGTACCAAAGTCATAATAACACAAATTTAGTGTAAATCGACAGTAGAGCTGTTGATTTAATGTTAGAGTTCAACTTCTTAGTACCCACAATGCTTTGCGGTTTGAGTCACATAACGTTACGTCCGTGAATCTGATTTCATTTTACTGATTTTCTTACGTTTTTGTACGACTCAAAACCATGACAACAGACCGGGCTGCTCGGACAATTACTAATAATCCAAAAGGGACCACGTGTTAAGTATTAAGAGTTATTAAATTTAGTTTCAAACCGTTTTTACGAGATACATGCTGAACGATGCAGCGTTAATAATGCTCCGGCCAGGAACATGGCACAACAGTACGGTTCCGTTTACAACACTAACGACAGACCCGTTTTGTTTTGAGGGTTTCCGGAGCATCAACTTAAATAATTGTAACGACAACAAACACGCATTTGTGGTCTAACTACAGATAATGTCTTGGTACGGTGAATATCGTACAAACCCTGTGTTCATTTCACGTAACATAACGGGAACGTCTTTACTGCTGCCGTTTAATGAGCAGTTGTTACGTTACGACACATGAGGGCAGCATTTCATTAAGGTTAACTTTAGATAACATTTCCTTGACGAGGGGTCAGCTTTTACGAGTATTCTTTTAAATTATCCACTGTGTGGTATGTTTACAATTTACATTGGCCTTCCTAACTAATGACAACTTAACGTTATACCAACATATCAGTGAGTTAAGTAGAAAAGTGGACGGTCTCTTCCAGGTGTGTCCCTGTAACCACCGACGGCAAGAGGGATTAGGGTTACGTTAGTTTTTACACTTCTAAAGCTCTATAAACTAACGTTACAGATAAACTTAATCAAACACACATTATAATGAACAAACTTGTGAAAATTAAGCTGGAAAAACTGGTGATAATTAGCTAGCACCGATATCCCTTTCACTTTACTATCCAGTAAGTTGACGTTAGTGCTTCAAATGCCTCACAGCCAGCAGCTTCGTCTTGGTGTCTCATTAGGACCAACATTAAACCAAAAAACTTACTATAACTTAACTTAAGTGGTCCCTTTCTGTCAATGAAAAAAGTCTTTGCGGAAAGTCTCATTGCGCATGCTCAGTGAATACCACGCTGTCCTCTTAAAATAGTTTATTCATGCATGAAAATTCATTCACCAGGTCCACTGATGTGACAAACATCCATTATTGATAACACGATGGAGATCATTCATATTATGAGAAATAACTTCTATGGAAACTAACTATGAAAAAAAAACCTGTAATTTCTTACACATATAGACTTTTCCCTTCATTTCAATATATTCAAAATATATTCCTTATTTCACCCCAAGATGTGCAAATATTCAATTAAAAATATATTACGACATTACATTACAAGAATGGTCAATGAATCATACAGTACATCTTTTAAGTTCTGTTGTTATTAAAAGCTACATGGTGCTGAATTATTTGCTGGAAAAGTGATTTCCTGTGTGACATTTTTCAGATGAGATAAGGAATGGGTAGAAGGCACCTATGTGGATATCTATGTCCTTTATAAACAAACTGTATATATGCCATACATGCAACTAAGACTAACACAAAGGTTAAAACATTTAGGATTCAGTGATGTCAAATATTGAAATTACAAAAAAAGAAATCTCTTCCATTGTCTAGTGCCATAGTAATATTAGGATAATAAAGCTTTTCTAACTGTAGTAATAGTGTTTACGTGCTCTCTCGGTGCAATAAAAAGCAACAACTATAATGGCGAAATGAGATCAAACTAAAATTAAGTGAAAAAAGACTGAAATGATTTAAAATGATGTGAGGACAAAACATTCACAAAGCCTTCCTTTAATTCTAAAACTGTAGTGTTCCTTTGTAGTGTTTGTTGTGCTCTTTCAGTTACACTGTAGTGCAGCAAAAAGGAAAAAACAAGCATATATTATATTTCTAATGAGTAATCGATAATGTCATTCATTAAGTGAAAGTACTGGTTGGTTGGAAGAACTTCAAAAATGTTCACTTGCTTAGTTATATGTATATAATATTGTTATAAAATTAGTACTTTGCATTTTCAGACTGGTCACAATAACATTATTTATAGCTTAATTTAAAAAAAATGCCGATTTATCCAAAACAGAAATAATGATTAGTTAGTTAGTACTGACTGTTAGGGAGGAGTCATGCTTTGACACTACAGTCATATTTTAGTATAATTCTGTTGTTTTAATACTCTGTAAAACGTACTTGGGATGACTGACATCAGATCACAATGACTGGGAAAACAGGAACCCAAAAAGGAATGATGTTGCTCATTATCAGCATACAGAGCGCCAGTCATCTGTGTATGGCCATGCTTGTAGTTGTCTGTTTTGAAGGTCCATTGGAGATCTGCCCTCAAAAAATACAATGCTGTTAAGTCAGACTACTGACTTTAAAAGTCAGAGCTAAATTCAATTTATTCCATCACCAGACTTCTTTCTTCCTTCTCTCCCGTCCTCTACGGCTTCTCCTTGTACCTCCTCCAGAGCTGGTGCACTTGTCTTCTGGCCCCAGAGCGAACACAATTGGAGAAGGAGGTGTAGTGTCGGCCCTTCATCTGGTAAACACAGAGAAAAGGGAGGCACAGTCATGTTGAGAGCCAGAAGTCAGAAGAGAGACTTGGCATTAAAGTGAAAAAAGTAATTATCAGGTAACGGTCACCTGACCTAACTCAGGTTTACCCATGCTGTAATGCATTGCACTAGAGAAGTTTAAAGTCATTGTGCCCCTTGCTATTGCCCCCCACTATTGTTTTACCTTTATATTACATGTAGAAGATCAGAGGCTACATTCAATGCTGGGAATTGAAAGAGCATTTAACCAAGCACTGGTGCTTTTGATAAAAGTCATATTCCAGGTCAAATGGTTAAAAGTCACAGAGGAAAGGTGAGGAGAATTATTGTGGCTCATTTCCAGATTAATATGTTTTCAGAAAACGACTCAAACTCTAGATATAAAAAATAAGTTGTTGGTGGTACTTATCTGCTTGCTAGCTCCTTCTTCAGACAGGATTTAAAAGAGGTGGCACGCTCCACAGATTTATAGCCCTGAGAGGTCAGTAGATAGACATCATGGCAGAGAAAAAAACGAAAAGACGGAAGGAAACACAGGGAGGCAGGCATGACAACAGACACAAGATAGAATAGTGGTGATGGATGGGAAAGAAGAAAGTATGAGTGTTGTAACATAGGAGAGGTTGGGATGACAGGTGAGTGTGGCAGAAAGAGAGGAGAATGAGGATGCAAGCAAAGCCAGGAGAGGTGGAGAGAAAGAGAGAGAGAACACTGTTAATATGCCAGGACTGTGAGGGCAGGACAGCCATACGACCATAACTAGAATGATTCAACAAGTACAGAAGGTTCACTGTTGTGCAATGTTAGTGAGGGTTGTGGCATATCAGGCACATTTTAAGCTTGACATCAACCTGACATCTTGTGTCTGTAAATAAGACTCTGTGCTGTTGTGTTGTACCAGAATACACCACTAGATGGCAGTATCCCTCTTTGAAACAACACTGTGAACCCGCTCAAGGTGATTAAACTGCAAGTAACTCATGGAAGTTTTTACCAGCAGATTTAATTTACATTTAGATTTTTTTCATCTCTATTCACTGAAATTTTATTTGAGATCTTTTATCAGCCTTATATATTTAAATATAACGTATGGATTCTATTCTATCTAGTCTTTGCAGATGTTACTTTACATTTGATATTATATCTTGTGTGGATTTTGGCTTACTTGAGTTGTTTGCAGTGGCAGAAGGACAGCCTTTGTTGTTTACAATAAATCAAAACAAGCTTTTAAAGAGCAGGCCGGTCTAGCTGTTATAGAGTTCTTTAACTGGATCACATTGGTTTGAACCAGCTTTCTAATAATCTTTCAGTTCCTCACCCTGGCTCCCCTGTGCAGACGGTCCTTCATTATACCGATGAACTCCTTATAGGAGAGCTGGTCGTCATGATCTACGTCAAAGATCTTGAAGATGGTGTGTACAAGGTGACGTGTCAGCTTCAGCCCAGTGGCCACATACACCGCTCTTGCAAACTCGTCTGGTAGGAGAGAGAGTGAAAACAGTATTGATGATCTTGTTGCACACCGAGTTAGAAGGAAAAACACACTATCTGTGTGTGTAAGACCCTCAGTGCCTGTGGCCCCAGCTGCCGCCGCTGTCCTCCTACCTTGTCCAATGGAGCGAGACGCAAAATTGTACATCTGCATGGCAATGGCAAAGTCCTCGAGGTTGTTCAGAAACTGGAAGAAGGATCTGAACTCATCAAATGTGATTCCCTGAAATACCAGAAAAAAAACACATGTGAAGCAATAAAAATCTAACCAGCCCAGAACAAGGTGAGCAGAGAGTGTTTCTGCACATACTGCCATTCAATCGGACCTTGACCAATAAAAACTTAGAAAAAGCAACTCATACTATCAATCAGTAACTCAAATATTCCTTGAAATAGTCCCATTAATGACATAAAAGATCATTAATGACAGGATTGTGTGTTCATGATATGTAGCATTTCAACAGTGCAGTGTTTCATAACCCCAAAGTAGCAGCATACAGTAATAATGCTTAAGCCATTCAACAAGTAGCTGTAACCACCACATGCTTTTTGTTGTGAACCAAGATCAAACCTACAGTTAGATTAATAAAAAATCTATAAACGGAGACAAAAGAAATGCAGTCTTTGCAGGTGCACAGGAAAAGATGCAGATTAAAAAACACATATACAAAAAGAACTAGGCAGCCGTGTATCTCAACCTAGACATCCCTGATATGGATAAACAAAGAAGATGGCAAACTAACTAAGGGAGGACAGACTGACAGATTATAACTGCAGGTTGTGTACTGTACAAGGCAGAGACCAACCTCCTGCTTCTTCCACGCATGAAAAGGAAAGAAGGAAGGGACAGAAATAGAGTTGGGTTGCATAAGAACGACATGCTAATAGATAGATAGATAGATAGATGTAGGTGGACAGGTGGAAGTGCAGTCGTGTGTGTGTGTGTGTGTGTGCAGTGGAGCGCTGAAGTGTGGAAAGCCACAACAGCCTCAGGCAGAGACAGGGGTGGGAAATTATGGATGCTCTAGACGGCTGGAAGGCGGGAGCGCCCATAAAGCAGGAAGAAGAAATTAAACAGATAGAAAAAGGAAAGGTATCCGGTGTTACATAAAGATAAATAAACAATCCAAAGTCCTACCTACTTCACACTTAACTATCACCTTTTGGCTTTTCTGCAGCTCTTTTGTATTTTCCCAATATTTTTACTTTCATTAACTGAAGAAAAATGGTATCATATTGAACAGCACCATCCACACACAAATAGGATGAGATAGAGTTTGTGTATTTTGTGTCTATTGCACAGCGTTTGGTTTGCCGTGCGTTCCTCTCTTAGTAAAGAACTGCGTGCGTGTACCTTCTCGTCAGGTATACACTGACGGACATTCTCCAGGTAGGCGCTGATGTTCTCCACGTTGGTGAAGCGCAGCAGGATTTTGGCAAAGTCTTCTTCACTGATGGTGGTCATCCCTTTAGAGTAGGTCAGAAACTCAATTTCCAAAACCTCTGTTTGAAGGTTATCCATAAACCTGAAAAGCAGCAAGGAAGCAAAAGAAGGAGAAGGAGATTTATCAAACAAGCATGTTACTAGTTGAGATGCCACTAGATGTCACTAAATCCTACACACCGGTCCTTTAATATTGTTTATAGCATTTTTGTACCTGTAGAAGTCATCGAATGTAAGCTCTGCCTTCCCTTTCTTCCCAAAGAAATGGACCAGTAGGGTGGTGTCGATGGTGATACTCTCATCTGCTCGCTACAAATCATCAGGAATAAGAGAGAGGATTAATGAGTGACTAATTAATAAACATGAAGCAATGTGGTTGGAGGAGAAGCAGTGGGCAGGACGAGTCCATCTTCAAACCAACATGGCTAGCAGGAAGCAGGTTTCCGCCGCACGTGTGCAGAACGTGTGCCAGATGAGCAACGTCAAACTGTACAAATCAGCTCAGACAGACAGTCAGCAGCCATCATGACATCAAACATACCAGTCTAGGCAGCCATAACGTTTATGTTAAACCAGATAAACCTCTTAAATGGGAAAAGTATCGATTTGATAAATAACAGGCAGATTCAGTACATTTCACTCTCAAACACTTAGTTTGTGCAGAAAAAATGATCCATCCATTTTCATTTAGCAGTCAAAGTCAGGAAATAGAATGAGAGGTACGGAGATATTTTCTTCCATGCTGCCTAGACCGGCGACGAGTGTTGCTGTAGCAGCATGAAACACAGACCCATACTGGTCTGGTGAAGACACAAGTAGTGTTCAGGTAGAAGCACACATAAAGATACAGAGACACAATGAAAAACAGAGTCATGCAAATATTCACTGATCCGGGGGAGGGAGGGTGTGGACGGGGCTCAGCAAGAATGTAGGAAGGAGGACCAAGTGTTGACCAGGAAGACAAGAACAGAAAGAGACAAGATTTTGAAGAACAACTCAGACAAGGCAAGACAGACAAATACATAACACTAAGCTGCCAAACAGACACGGACATTAAAGCCACCACATCTCATGCACTTCTCTGCAAATGCCACATTGACACACCCACACGGAACCTCAAACCACAAACAGCAGCACGGAAACAAAACCAAATTAGCACAAATGCAGAGAATGTGAGCCATTTCCACCTTTTTCCGTCAACGAACGAGAATCATAGTGTCATATATGCAATATTTATTTATTTTCGTATCTTTCTTTCCTACTTTTACTCCTACCTTTGCCCCTCTGTCCTCCCTCCACAGTCTGAAATTGAACATTTACTGAATCCTGGTCATTTGAAACCCATTCAACGGGCTTTGGGATGTTTGTTTGCTCATGCTATAATCGGTTGGTTAACAATTGTTTAATCCCTAACCAAAACAAGGTGACACAGCCTTCAAGAAAAGTGTGCTTGAGTGTGTATTTCACATGTTTGCGTTCGCTAACAAATCTAAGCTCAGAAAAAGGTGACTGTCAGCCAGCGTCAGTGCAGAAAGAGAGGATGTCCAAAGCCCATCTTTAGTCTCTCTCCCTGCCATGTCCCACCCAGCCAAACCCCCTTTCCAATTCATGGCCATGCTGAGGTATATGCAGACATCAGATTGGGTGGAATCTCATGTCCTTCTAAGGAGGAAGAGCATTTATGCCATTTCCATCATCATCATCATCATCATCATCATCATTATAATCATCACCACGATGCCATTCTTAGTTCTACCTCAAGAGTAAAATCCTAAAATCCAATGTGGGATAAGAAGCAAATGTCAAACAAGATGAAACAGGTTTACAAAAATAAAAAAAGATGTTCAAGTTGGCAAACTACACAGATTCACATCTGTGACAGATGTTGCCGGTGCAGTTGTTGTGTTGTTTGTTGTGACATGAGATGTCTATTCATTTTATCAATAAGCAAATAAGTTCATTAGTTTGTAAAGGTAAATTATATGATAGAGAAGTGCGTCCACCTTTAATACACTCAGGCCCTTATTTCTATACACTGAGCTCTGCATGCCAACAGTGATTCTTTGACTGTTTCATGTGAATACTTGTTAGGGGCCAGAAGGGGTGAAACCATCTGGTATAGAGATACATGTTGTGATAAATAAAAATAAATTCATGAAGCAGAAAAATGTTGTTCTTTCCTAACTTGTTGATCATACCTTCCCCATGATTAGTAAACAAAACTCAACTGGCAAAATCTATTATGTAAGCATTCAAAGCAGTTAGCCAAATCAAACTGTGGGTCTGAGTTTTGCATTATAATAATATTCTCTACGCTGAGATGCAGTAGGTTAAGGCACTAACCAAATTCCAAACAAAATGTGTAATGGATGCAGGTCAGTAATTCACAGGATAAAAATGTCTTCTGGGAAACAAACATTAAAAGTAAACGCTGTTTTAGGACCACCAGCATTAGTGTGACTCCCAACATTTAGTCTGTTTCTGATTCACTTGGCAGTCTAGTCTTCCAGTACTTCATATAAACACAGACAAACTGAAACAATTACAGACTTATCATTCCAGTGTCTTTTTTCACGTGTCTCACTTATTTGAGGGTCTTTTCAAAAAGCCTCTGATTACGGACAAACAGGACAAAAATGAAGACAAAAATACTTTCGCTCTTTTATCTTATAACTGACGCATTACCGTGTCTTTATGACACATGGGCTGTTCATACTTCCAGACAGCATCCAGGTGGTGTGCCTCTGCCTCTCTTCCCTTCTTTATCCATATCCCTCTCATTCTTTTCATAATCTCAAACTGTTTGTTTTGCTCTCCCAGTGATAGGAACATGAAAACAAGAGACAGATAAATAAATAATGATATTTTGATATACACTATGGCAAATGTATGAAATCAAATACTGTATAGAACCAGTTCATCTGTTCATCTGCACACTATAGACCAACTGTTGTATTCTCCACAAAAACTACTTTTTAATTATTATTATACATCCAATATTAATTAACTTTTATCAATATTAATATGTTATTATATATAAGCTGAATGAAGTATTTTTTGGCCATTTGAGTGCAGCAAAATTAACTATAAACGCAACATTGATACATTATCACCTTATAAAGGTGTTATGGTGAACGTGTTAACATACGGTACATTTGAGTTGTTGTGTGCAGCCACCAATATTCCCTCTCTTTTTAGCTGTTTTGTTCTCCAGAAACTCCTATGGGAAACAGATGCTCTTGTTAGCTGCTAAATGCTCCCCTGTGTACATCAGTTAGCTGCTGTGTGTCTGCGGTTTGGTGCTGGACAGTGTACAGTGGGTTTATCGGAGATTCTTCAGTGAAAACAGCTGCCTCCTGCTGAAAGCAAGGCAAATAAAACTGAAGAGTTGATAGTGATGTGCTCCTTTGTTATTATAAAAAATATGAATAAGTGTAGCTTTAATCATTATCATTTTATGACTTGGCATCTGATAACGGTTTGACATTGGTCAGTACTGGCAACATCTAACATGATAGAGGTTTCTTCCTTACCAGAGTTATTGATTGTTTTGATAATAGTAAATGACCATTACTTATTATTACTTATTTTATATCAGATGTCTAATCTAAAAAAAACTCACTCAAAAGACTTTGTCAGTGTTGTGTTTTTAGGTCAAATTTGAAGCTCATGTAAGAAACTGTCAGCATATCAGAAGGTTGAATAAAAATATTGGTATTAATATCAGCCCCTTTAAGACGCCATATAAGTCTAAACTCTGGTAGACGTAATGCACTAATAATAATAAGAATAACACTAATTCCTGGAAGTGTGGCAGCACCAGTGTGAGCTCATCACCCTCGTAAAGACGTAATGGTTACCACGCCCACAAGGCACGAGCCAACACCTGGTGTATGTGTGTGTCTATTTGTCCTTCTCTGTGTGTGAGAGCTTTAACAGACTTTGATCATGAAGCTGAAGGTAAAAACAGTAATTACTGATGTAAACACTAAACGGTCTTCCTCATCCTCCCTATCTGTGAGTAATACCTCGGAGCAAGAGCTCATTGTCGGCCCTCAGTCAAGTCAGTCAGACTGTCAGTCAGTCACACCTTCCAGGGTACAAACAGCTAACCCTCCCCTTCCCTTCCCACGACCTGGTCGCCTTTCCCCCTCCTAACTTTATCTCCCATCTTCTCTCTCTTTCTTTCCCTCTCCTATCACTTTGTTCCCTCTTACCCTGCCCCTGCTCTGATTACTCTGATTTCCTTTCTCCTCATACTACCCGTCAGTACCTCCTTCACCTGACATAGAGGTGATTCGCGCTTTCCTTCCTTCCCTCCTTCTCAGCCTGTCAGTCAGTCCCTCCTTCTCCAGACAAAGGCAAAGAGGTATAATGGTGACTAATCTGTTGAGTAAACACATCTTTCTCTAAATACAACCTGCTTCTTTCTTTTCCCCTTAATGTGCTTCCCGAACTTCTTTTCTTCCCACCCACTTTGTTCCTGAACATTTGTTCTCTCTGCTGACCTGTGTCATCTTCTTGGGGCCTCTCTCACCTGTTTGTTGTCTCTCAGATTGTATCTCTTGCCTCCTTTTCACCCTCAGGTTTTCAACTTATCTGATCTGGTTACAGATTTGTTACAATTCCAACGTTTCCTCTTCTCTTTAATGTATCGCTTTTTTTTATTGTGAACCCATGTCTCACTTTTTGTTCATTTTACTTCATCTTATAACTTTTTTTAATCCCTCACACTTTTAATGTACCTGTTTTTCTTCCTTTTATTTCCCTCCCCCCATCCCCCCCCCTGTCTGATTCGTCTGTTCTGTCCGTCTGACGTCCCAGCAGATGAAAGGCTGCTTGGTGTAAATACTAGGTCAGTCCCATTATGCTCCACTGTCATTACCTCCACCTCAGCTTCCGCTGCCACCACAGCACATAGCCTGTCATTAGGAAGCTAGCCTGCTAGCACTGTTAGCTGTTATTAATCATTACTAGCATATTTACTTTGTGTTAGATGCATCAGAAAGACTATTTGACTTGCACACAAACAAGCCAATGAAAAATTTGCCAAAATGTGAGATTATACAGATGAGCATCATTTTTACCTGTGTAAAAATGCTTGGATTTTATTAACTTATGACAGCAGACAGCCCCAGGCTGGAATTGACTCAGGCTGCTACCAGGTAAGCTACAGAGGCGCCTCATGTTTTGATTTTAGTCCTGTTTGTCTGTTTTTAAGCTAACGCCGTGGCTATAAGGATGTCAGCCTGTTGGTTGATCAGTCCACCACTTGTCCAGACTAAAATATCTCAACAACTGTTAAATGGATTGCAATGAAATTTTCATGATCCCCAGAGGATAAATCCTACCAACTGTGGTGATCCTCTGACCATTCCTCCACTACGAGGTTTACATTTCCTTTCTAGTGAAATGTCTTTGCAATTATTGGATGGACTGTCATGAAATTTACTTTACATCTATCGCCATCATCAGTTGAACATTTCAATTTGTGCAACACTTTGGCTTAATGGCATTGCCATCAGCCTCAACTGTACACACTAAGATAGTGAATGTGAATGATCTGATGAATATCAGCATATTAGCATTATCATTGTGAGCATGTTAGCTGCTATGCTGACGTACAACCTCACAGAGTTGCTTGCATGGCTGAATACTTCTATTAATTCTGTCTGAAATTACAGGTGATAAACAACATTTAAAATGTCTAATCTTAGTAGAAAGTAGAAGCTTTTAAGGGGTTGTTTGGAGGTATTACCTGCTAGCCACCCGCAGTTCAGGTCACCATTTGATCTTAATTGCTGAAGTGAGTGATGCATTTTACATTATTGCCTCAATGTATATACTACTGTAATTTAAAGTACAGAAGCGAAAGACTACTGTACTTAGAATTAAAGAAATTCAATGTGCCTCAGTATAAGTGTGTGGTGCTATAATGAGCATGTTTTTTTGTATGTGCTCTGCAGTCAGCCTTGTTATCATTATACCAGTGTCATTAAACATGTTGTGGTGTAAATTGAGAATGATTTCACACCGAAGCTAAAACACTAGCCACAACACAGCACAGATAACAAGGCACAGATACACATAGAAAAGCATAATGAAGAGACCAAATGACAGAAGGCAGGTGAGAAACACAACAGGTTATTAGAATACGGACAGTACAATATCATCTAACTAGCATTATTTGATCAATATTGTCACATCAGTACAATATATTATATTATTTAGAAACAATAATCAATAGGAACAAATATGAAGAAAAAACTCCTTATCATATTTGTTCATCAGGAATAGGGTGTGACATAATGAAATGGAGAAGACATTTCAAACATTTGGAGGAGCCTCGAGTTATCCCAAGAAAGATTTTCCTACAACTCTCTCAGTTTTCGAAGAGATCAGTCCGATGGACAGTGCGAGGAATCTTGTAGAGCTCATCCAAACAGAAATGATTTCACATGCAGAAAGGGAATGGAGGAATGGATTGACACTAGTTTCTGTACCATAAAGATATAAGTGAGATACAAGTATGGCAGATATTAAGTGATCTAAATATAATGTTATATACATTTTTAGGGAAGAAAGGAAAAAAGAAAAATTGCAATGCAGTCTACTGTATGTAAATTGTCAGTATCAAGCCAAACCAGAATAAAAGAGTAAGGGTGATCATAACATTGTATTATTGTACAATAACCCTATACTGACAAATAGTTTTAGTTCTTACTTCTCTTTTGGCCGACAAAATATCTTGGTCCATATAAAGGTTAGCTAAGCATGATTTCTTAAGAAGTCAAACATTAAGGGCAAACACCTATTTGCTCACTCACAAGTAATGCTTTTATTTTGGAGGATAAAACTGAAAAATCTGAAAATCTGGTGTTATTCTGGCTAAGCTTGAATACATCATTCTGAATCTGTGGGGCTAGTTGGAGGATCAACACTAACTACAGTGAACTGTGAAGGACGAGTGAAGGATGAAAAATGGAGGGATGTAGGGACAGAGGACAGTTAGGTCTGTGTACCTCCGCCAGGTCAGAAAAGAGGACTTGACTGGCACCTCGCCTCAGAACGTCCCAGTAACTCCGCGCCACAAACTCCTGACTGTCTTTTTTTAGCACCTGTAGGAGCGGTCAAGCAGGGCCAGGGTCAGTTCACCTCCAACTTAACCACTTCAGGAAGTAAACTTCAGCCTTCATTAATCAATTCTCTATCAATTCTCAATATACACATACATGAAGTCAATTTTCTTGTTTTAGAGTAAATATACTGCATATTTATGGGCAGTGTCACATACAGCATTCATAAATAGTAAATACTTAAACAAGATAATGCTGACCTGGCTTCTGACATTCATGGATCTACCTTCTAAAGGAAACCTCATCCATTCTGTTTTGCCAAATCAGAGAAAACAAATAGTAAACACTAAATTATTTGCTGACCCTACATTGCTTGTTTATTAGAAGAAAGAAATAGCTAATATAACCAGGGAGAAACAACATTTAAATGAAATCATGTTCTGTCATCAATACAATTTACAGTGGTAATATCCATTTGTAATGTTTGATTTAACTATAACTATATATAACTAACTATATAACTATAAATTCACCCCATCCACTGTAATAAGCACCAAGCATAAAAACACATTAGTGTCAAACACAACAGGAATGAAGGGAGGAAGGGTCAGATTTTAAAACGTGTACATCACAGATAAAGCAAAAGACAAATATAATATCTAATGTCTTCTAGTGCTTTTGGTGAACATAAAAATAAGGATTATTTAGGAACATATGTGCTGTCCTAAACGCCACAAAAGATAGCTGGTCCTGTTAGAGTGTATTCTGCCTTCATTAAAGTCAACCATGGCGCTGAGCTCCTGACCACCCACCTCGTCTCTCTCTCCAGGGAGAATGCAGCAGCAGCCATTTTAACATGACCCTGACGCTCGTGCTAGACCTCTCACGGAGTGGACAATGGCAGGTATCCATCAAACAGCTGGACACGGACCAGAGCTCGCTCGCTCGCGTGTGTGGTGTTGGTGTGCCTGTGAGAGAGCCGGAGAGAGGAAGGAGAGAGAGAGAGAGGGGGAAAGCTCATAGTGTGAATAGAGACTAGTGGCTGGTAGGCTACAGTTATTGAATAGTACAATTCTTGCTACACTACTCTATCTCCATTAGAAAACATTCATTACCACTCAGGGTGGGCCAACCTCTACAGTGGTTATCATTGTATCTCAAGGGGAAATTAGGGGCAAATAATTGAAGGCATTTAAGTGTTGAATGTGTACTAAACTAAACTAAATCTCAAATATTGAATTACTATGTTGAACAAGTTAGTCTTCATTGTATGTAATAAAATAAATCCTTCTCTTGATTGATTTGTTTAATCAGTTTAATTGTGGATGCCATACTACTCGGCAGACATATGTAACCTGTTAGCTTTCTTTATCATGTAAATGTGAATGTGCTCACACAATAGAAGCAACTTTCTGTCTGCAGCCTTGGCCTCTTTCAATAAAAAATCTCCTGCTCTCTCTTAGCATTAACCAAACTCGGTAACATCAACAAGAACACACACACACACAACACACTGCCCAAACAAACAGCATGTGTCCTTAAACAAGATATCT